GGGGGGAGCATTTTTTCTTGCTACTTATTATTCTAGTATAGTAAACAAACTGCCAGCTAGGATTCAGTCCCTTAGCTGCCATGTCTGTTCCGAAGGGCGGCTTGGCCTTGGCCTTGGCCTCATTATGGTAATTAACAATCCTTACTTTCTTTTTTTAATGAGAAGAAATATTACTAATACAAATTAAGTCCATGGACTGCATGTGATGTCAATGACATTATGCTGAATGACTCGGCTCTTTTGTGGCAACTATGAATTGGTGATTGCAACATGTCAAAGAACTGCCAAGTCTACTTTATTTACATCCTGGATTCTACTTGGCTTACATCTATTGTAGCCACGCAATACAAAGGGAATGGTTAAAATAGCTTAACAATTTCTGTACTTATATATTTTTTTATTTTAATTTTTTATTTAAAATCATAATAATTTAAAAATTATTTCAATTTAATCTTTTTAATATTTTTTTTAAAATTACTTTTCACAGAATTAATATCATCACTGACGTGGCATTGACATGCCACATTAAAGCTAATGTCATTACTAACGTAACGCTGATATGGCATCGTTTGCTAACATGACATGTGAGGTGAATTGGAAATGTTGACATGACAGTACCATATCACTTTAACATACTAATGTGATAATATCATGTGCCATTGACATGTTAATATAGATATGCCGAATGACATGTCCAGAAAGACAACACGTGTCACATTCTCTTTCAACACCCATCCATATCATGCCACATAAGATGTCTAGAGAATGACACATAACATGGCAAGCAAGTAACATGTGTCTCTTTTTTGTTTTTTCTAAAAATATTATATACTTGTTGAGTTTCAAACTTAAAACATCATGCAAGCACAACAAGCTCTTTACCATTTGTTCTAAACCCCTACCTTTGTTTATATATTACTTTTGTTTCTTTTCTTCTTTTCTTTCCTTTTTTTTTCTTTCTCCTTCCACTTTCTCCCTTAAGAATTGATCGTTAGTCACTGACGTCGCCTTTGGTCACTGGTCGTTGGTTGACAGTCAATAAACATGCCATGCCATGACCGTGACCAATGATTGTCGACCAGCAACTGACGACAACGTTTGATGATTGGCAGTCGGTCTTTAATGGAGAAAGAGAGAGGAAAGAGAGAGAAAAAAGGAAGAAAAAAAAAAGAAAAGAAGTAAAGAAGGAAAAAAAAAAAGCAATATATATTAAAAGACTATGGCTTAGAGTAGATGAGGTTTTGGATTTAAAATTCAACAAGCATATAATTTTGTTAAAGAAAATAAATAATTTTAAAATTAAAGATTTAAATTATATTTTAAAATTAAAGAGCTAAATTATTACGATTTTAAGTTTGAAGGATTAAAATGAAGAAAATGCATGAGTATAAAGACTGTTGAAGTGTTTTGACCCAAAGGAAATATAATCAACCGCAAATGAGTGTGAAAATAGTATTATTACCCAAACTTTGAAAGTGCTTTTTTTTTTCCTCTCTTGCTTCAAACTAGTAAACGGTATGCAAGCATCCTTGACCTATAGAATAAAGATGTGGTTACGGTGATAGCTTGGTTCAAATATTTTTTTAAAAAAAATTATTTGAAAAAAGAGATATTTGAATTTTACTTTTTAATTAACATATCGTACATCAATTATTAAATTAAATATTTTAATATTTTAAAAAATATTTTACTTCTTTTCAATTTGATTATTACCCGTACGAACGTACAAGAATACAATAAATTTTTCCTACTTTTTGCTAGAAGTTTTTGGCTACTATATACTTAATTAACCTTGTGGCTAACAAGATATTGATGCAATACTAAATTAACAAGTTAAGAGGCTTGTTGAAAAGGTTAAACGTTTCAAAAGTGGCAACCCAAGAATCATGGTATATAAATAATAGAATGCTGAGAGGACCAATGAAGAAGCCCATTGAATGTTGGACCTGCTCACAAGCAATTTGGGTGTGTCAGTCAGTCATGGTCCAGACTCCAGCCCTTACTCTGCCGTAAAAAATGGAAAACCACATTTTGAGTATTTGCAAAAGGCGTGAAACCCTCGTCCCCCATTCTCAGATATGCATCACCAGCTAATTAGATCACAAGAATATCTGACTAACACGCAAAATGTAAAGATTCTTTAAGCATTTAAAGCAAGATTAGAATTGCAGTGGAAGCATATTAACCCACCTTGGAATCATAGTGTTTCCTTTATACCTAGTTTCGATATAAAGTTAAGGTAATGACATAAGAGGAATCTAATGAAGTGATTATATTCTTAATGTGGGGTTGGTTGTTTTTAACTATTTTTATCCTTCTTTGCTTCCCCACCCGAAATTACTGAGATGAGCTTTATTGCATGCTTATTCTTTAGCATTCAAATTAATTTACTTGTTCTTCAAAGGAGTATTTTTCTTGTTTTCAGCTGTACGTTAACATGACATGAAACAAAAATGGGTATGGAATAATCAAAGCCAAAACTGAAATACGAGTGCCTTGAAAGAGAATAGAGGGAATAAATTATGAATCCCCTAGCTAGGGAGGTTGCTTTTTCCCTGGGATGGGAACTTCCTGGCCAACAGTCAAAAAGTGTTAATGTGGGATGTAATTAAAGCAGCATATATATATATATATATATATATACTCATCTCCTTGAATTTTCCCTTCTAAATGAGATTCTTCGTTCCCTTTTCTTTTCCCCATAAATACCGCATCCAACCCTAGACCAGGAACAAAACAGAAGAGCTTCAGCTTAACATAGAGTCAGCAAACCTCTTCTTTATACCGTTCAAGAATACAGCAAAGTGTAGAAATGAAAGATTTGACCGTGGAGAATTAGCTGCCTTGCCCAGTCGGCTTAGCTAGGGTCTCCATATCTGGTAGAGGACTTTGTTTTTCTAAAGAGGATCATGTTATGTAAACTAGTTTCTTTCACGTTATTAGTATTGGGTTTCTGACAAAAGCAACACGTACAAGAAACACGGCTTTGTTTTCTTCCCCTTTGTTTTTGTGTGTTCTCATTTACCTCATGGTTGAATGGCGATAAGGTAGTACGTAGAAACTTCAAAAAATGAGTGGACATAAGTTTATTTATATCCGTTCAAGTTGTAAATTAAATATAAGGTGTTTAAGTATCCACGTGGAAATTAAAGAAAAAGGTCCAATAACATTGAACCTGTATGCCACAATGTCATATCTCATGCTCATACGTCAATGCAAATACCTTGTGAACAATTTGATTGGAGGAGGGAAAGGGGTGGCTATTTGTCAAATGTAACTGAAACGCTGAAGGGAAGGATCTTGGAAACTACACACAACTTGGTGTTTGCTGACTTTACATGTACATGTACATGTACATGTACATTTCTTGACCTCTCACTTTATTTAGAAAGAAATTTGTCCTATGTGCTGTAGTCCATTGCAAAATAATAAATTAAAAACCTTTGAATCTACATTGTACAGCTAATGTTGCATCGGTACTGTTTTCCATTTGATTTGACTGCTTCACCAAATTAATTTAATGTGACGCTCATTCGTCCTAAACCATAAATCTTATTTTACCTAATTAATGTACACAAATATATGATCGATTTTTATACTGAAACGTTAACTGTTGTAATATCTCTTCTAATACAGAAAAGAAAGGTAAAGGTTACCAAGGAACAAAAGGAAAATGTCCTGATCTTAGCAATAGGGGAATGGGGCCATACAAAGTCAATGGAGTCAATAAAAAAAAAACAAAAGATATTAATTCAATTTTTTTTTTGTTGTTTGATAAATTAGACCTAAATAGTGGAAGTAAAGATATTGACTGGAGAGAACCTCTCAGTGCTGTCGGTAGAGACGAGGGATCCGAGAAAGTGCACGCTCCCTTCTCTGCCTGGCCCGCGTATGTCATTCACTTTCAAGTTTCAACAGCCCATACGATGCCCATATTAAATTATCACTGTTTTTCATGCTTAAGTTTCAATGACGAAAGGTTTTGCTTTTAAAACATTAATCTTCCCAAATTGCAGATAATTAGTTTGCGCTGAAGTAGTTGAATTTTTTACTAACTACACCTACCCAATTTTGTTTGTTTCTGGAGCTGACCTCCTCTCTTTTTTCTTTTTTGGAATCATTTCAGTTTAACTTGAATAGTTAATATATATATATATATATATATATATATTTATAGGTTTCAATAAAGAAGTAGCTTATTTATTTTTTTTGTTGGGTATTTTGTTTTAAATGTAAGAAAATATATAATTAGTAATTTTTTTAATTTTAAATTAATTATTAAATACACTCTAATATTTGATTCATTGCTTGATATATGATTTTTTATCTAAAAAATAAAATTCAAATCTTATTCTCTCAATTTAAAAAAAAAGACATAAAAATATATTTTATGTTATATAGTATATTTTAAGACAAAAGAAGAATTTTATTTGTGTTTAAGTATGAGAATTTGGAGTTGGGAATATATTAAAAGGAATTATATTTTAAATTCAATACATTTTTTGGATTAATCAAAAATTTAAACATCAATAAACTGTTTAAATATAATCATGAAATTTTTTGCTTATTTTGAGAATTCACCTTTTAAATAACGATAATGAGAGAATTGATGTTTCGATTTAGCAAAGTGAATAAATTTTTTATTGATTACAAAATAATATAAGATAAAAAAATTTACATAACCAAACAACTAAAGGTCTTATCTAGGCAGATTTTTTAAAAAAAAATCTAAAGATGAATATATAAGAGGTTAGGTAAGAAAATTAGATTGGAATGTAGGCAAGATTTGTAATTTTATTCTATCCCATCCTTGAGGGTATATTTTCGAAATACTATGTTTTTATTTATTATTAATATATAAAATAAATATTTATATTTTTACATTTTTATTAAATTATTATATAAAAAATATTAATCATTTATATTAAATATTATTTTATTTTCAACATTTAAAACGTTACGAAATTAGACTTAAATTTTAATTTATAACATTGAAACAGCCACTAAATATTTTATTAGTAAATATATTTATATATTTTTTCATAAAAATTATAATAATTTAATGATTATGTTTATCTTTTTTGGGTTGAAAAAGAAATCATTGATAGGGACGTTTTTAGGCAATATCTTAAATGTGCACACCACAGCCCCTATCCCCTCACAACGCCAACGCCATCGCTGACGTCAGTGGAACCCAGCTCCAATTTACCACGTCATCTTCGTCGTCACCCAAACGACTTCATCTCTCTTTGACAAAACCATCGACAGCGAAAAATGAAATTTCCTGATTATCATTTCTTTTTTTGGGACGTGGCGACGTTTTTTTTTTTACTGATAATTCCTATTTTCTGTGATTTCTTTTTTTTTTTCTCTTTTTAATCTTCATTAATTATATTTTCACCTGTCTCTTGACCTTCTTCTCTTTTCTTTCAAGTCTTCGCTATCTTCTCTTCAACACAAAAGCAAATTCAATTCCTCTGATCTTTGCCAAGTATCTATTTTTATTGCAGCTTTGTAAAGTAATTATATAAATGTTCATTGGGTTTTCTTTTTTCTAGGATCTGATTCGTTAGCATCCTCCAAAACCTTGTTCTTTTTTTTAAAAATCTTTTTCATTTCTTTTTTTGATCTTTTATTATGCTAATTAAGAGGTCCTGGAAATTCAAGCAAGCTGGGTTTTTTATGCCTTCATATAATTGTTTTCATTCATGTGATTTGATACAAATAATGCTATCAAAAATTTCAATCTGGGATCTTCACTTTCAGCCTTTTTGTTGTATAAGATTTTTGCAATGATATCAGTTTAAGAAAATTAACCAAAAGAAGACGGAGTTTTGTGTATAATTTGCCTGTATACTTGTTCTCTGGAAAACCAATATAGGATTTATTGTTAGTTTTGAAAATCTTGCTCTTGTTTAACATTTTTTTTATGTAAACTAGTACCTGTTTTTAATTAACTTTTAGACTTGGGTTTTTTTTTTTTTTTTTTGCGAATAGGGTGGGGGGGGTGGCGTTGTTTTAGATCAAATAGCAATAGGAAGTTGGTTTTTTGGGACGAAAGTTTTGAACGTTGTTGTTCATGAATTAAGATTTTGACTACGGTTTTAATGGCGTATTTATCTGAGCCATCATCTTCTTTGAGCTTCAGTTCATCTTCTCATCTATCAAATGGCTCAATTACTCACAATATACCCTCCTTTACTGTTCCTGAAACTGGGGCTAGCCTTGAAGTTTTAAGTTTGACCAAGCTCAGCACCAGCTTGGAGCAACTTGTTGATGACAACGGTCCTGATTTTAGTGATGCTGATATAGTTGTTGAAGATGTTCCTGTTGGTGTTCATAGATGTATTTTAGCTGTTAGGAGTAAGTTTTTTAATGAGTTATTCAAGAAAGGAAATGGGTCTTGTGAGAAAGAAGGAAAACCAAGTTATAACATGAGTGAGTTGTTGCCTTATGGCAAGATTGGACTTGAAGCTTTTCGGATCGTCTTGCATTATTTGTACACTGGGAAGCTGAAGCCTTCTCCTATGGAGGTTTCTACATGTATTGATAATGTTTGTGCTCATGATGCTTGTCGACCCGCCATCAATTTTGCTGTGGAGTTGATGTATGCATCATCGATATTTCAAATACCGGAGCTGGTTTCACTTTTTCAGGTGAGTATGGAATTGATATTGTGATAGTTTTGAATTTCTTTTAGCAAATTTATTTACTTGTCATGAGCATCATCTTTTAGTGTTGACTATCGACTTGATATAATGGTGTGATCAATTATGGTAATAGTTTTCAATATTTAGAAATATATTTATATCTGCTCGCTGTAAAGTTAGATTTGAACTTATGATACGTTGAATGCTCTAACACATGAACCTTATTAGATCATTGCAACAAGATGGTTGCCTTTGCAGCCTTTAGTAAATATAATAGGAACCATTATAAGTAGGTGGTGATTGAAATAAAGAAGCATGGCTAGGTATTGGCCTCTGATTTACTCTGTAATTTAAATAACTCTTTGGCTTGATTAGACCAAGAGAAGGTATACTAATTTCATTTTTTATGCATTTGCAGCGACGTCTTCTTAATTTTGTTGAGAAGGCTCTTGTAGAAGATATTATCGCAATTCTTGTGGTTGCTTTCCATTGTCAATGCAGTCAGCTTGTTTCTCAATGTGTTGATAGAGTGGCACGGTCAGATCTTGATAGCGTCTCTATTGAGAAAGAGCTTCCTTATGAAGTTGCGGAGAGTATTCGGTTGCTTCGCCGCAAGTCTCCACCTGATGGTGAAGATAATGATGCTGTGGTTGACCCTTTGCCAGAAAAAAGAATCCAGAGAATACATAAAGCATTAGACTCTGACGATGTTGAACTTGTTAAACTACTTTTAACTGAGTCTGACATAACTTTGGATGATGCTGCTGCCCTCCATTATGCTGCAGCATATTGTGATCCCAAGGTTGTCTCTGAGGTTCTTGGCCTGCGTCTGGCTGATGTCAATCTGCGAAATTCTCGTGGTTACACCGTTCTTCACATCGCTGCAATGCGTAAAGAACCATCAGTGATAATGTCTCTTCTGGCAAAAGGGGCCTCTGCTTCAGAGTTGACAGTGGATGGACGAAGTGCAGTTAACATCTGCCGGAGGTTGACAAGACCAAAGGATTATCATGCAAAAACAGAGCAGGGAAAGGAAACAAATAAAGACAGGATATGCGTTGATGTTCTAGAAAGGGAAATGAGGAGGAATCCTATGGCTGGGGATGTGTCTGTTACTTCCCATACATTGGCTGATGATCTGCACATGAGACTTCTGTATCTAGAGAACAGAGGTATTATTCTATGTGGGAATTTTCTCTGGCTCTCTATTTCCACTCTTGTTTTATCAGATTGCATTTCCCAAATTTTCATTGAATACTGGACAATAATTGTTGTCAATGTAAAATTATCAACTGGAGTAAAATTTTCATGGATAAAATTTCTTAATAGCTGTAATATAGCCTGATATGTGATATTAAATTTGTACAAATAGTACTGCATGGATAAAGCTAACCAACCATGTCTTGAAAAGATACTTTTTATATTCTTTCCATTGTGAATAATATATGGGGAATTTTGAAGTGTTAATCAGCAACAAGGTCCATCTGAATAACTCATTCGAAAGTTGGATACATTCCCATGTGCATATAGGTGAAGATTCCATAATGGCTGCTAACTTTGTTATGGATGCAGTTTCTGAGGTTATCATCACTTTAGGATAAGTCATGCTGGAACTGTAGCTGAGCTAAACTTGTTAGATCTTATATATGTAGTCTTTCATTTATGATGTCCCAATGAAAGATTCTATTTGTTAATTGAAAAAGTATGATAAAATGAAATGCTTCCTATGCTAGCTGTACAAACTTAGCCAGTCTGACTTGGTAAAAGGGCTTCCTCTCATTTAAATTTTAGACTTACACATGGAAACTTTTGCACATTATGAATTTGGTTAAGATGTAGTTTTGGGTCGTTTGGATATATCTACTATCATTTGATTCATCCTGCGAGGTCCTTTTTTATGAGTTTATATATTTAAGAGGATTAGCTCTGATTGTTGTTGTCAATTGCAGTGGCTTTTGCAAGGCTACTTTTCCCTAGTGAAGCAAAACTTGCTATGGACATAGCACATGCTGAGACAACCTCTGAGTTTGCTGGTCTTTGTGCATCAAAAGGTTCAAATGGAAACTTAAGGCAGGTTGACTTGAATGAGACACCCGTTATGCAGAAGAAAAGACTTCTTGCAAGGATGGAGGCCCTCATGAAAACAGGTGATTGAAAGCTTTAAATATCCTCATGTGCAGGTCTTTTGTTTCATATTTTGATGGCAGCCTGTTTTTTGGGTTTAGCACTTAGCAGTCACTTTTTTTTTTCAATGTCCTGTTCGAACAAGTATTCTTAAATGGTTATTCTCAAATGGTGACTGGTCACACTAGTATGGCTAAATCGCTATTCTTAAACAGCGATTGGTCATAAGGGGCTGAACAAAAGAACTGGTTTTTAGGTCAGGTAGATAGAATGGAAATAGATTTACTTGTGAAAATATAAGCCAATGCTAGTTTTAAAGAAAAAAATAAGAAGAAAAATAAGAAATTTGACCCAAAAAAAAAAGTTTTCCTTGTTATTCTCTCTTGGTCATATTTGTGAAGTTGTTCCTTTATTTAGTAATATCTTAGGCTTTAATGGATTTTAGTACTATGGACAGTTGGATGCATCTTCTCTTACTAAATTTTTCTTCCTTTCATACTTGGTTTGGTTTTATGAAATTATGTCGTTTCATCCTATCTCATTGAGACTTCCCAAAAATGTTTTGCGTCTTTTACTTTCATTGACCACTATGAGGTTTTGGCCTTTAAAATGTTAGGCTTCTTATTCCACAAACTATCATACATCTTGCTTTGTAGTTTTTGAGTTCAATAGAGTCATCAGATTCTTCTTTTAAAGAAATACATCTTCAGGAGATGTAAAATCAGTGGAAATCGGAACAAGCAAAATTTGCTCGTAACTTCTTAGTCTGATCTTTGTGGTTGTTATGTCACAGTGGAGATGGGTCGGCGCTATTTCCCTCATTGCTCAGAAGTGCTAGATAAGTTCATGGAGGATGACCTTCCTGATTTATTTTACCTGGAGAAGGGCTCCTCAGAGGAGCAGAAAATAAAGAGATCACGTTTCAGGGAGTTGAAGGATGATGTTCAGAAGGCATTTAATAAGGACAAGGCTGAGTTTAACCGCTGTGGTTTGTCTTCATCCTCATCCTCATCATCTTTAAAAGATGGTGGCCCTTACAAGCTCAGAAAATTGTGAAGAAATGTAGGTTGTCTACAATAATGATGATGGTCACGAGCTAAAAGCTTTGGAGTTTAGACAAAGGTTTATCGTGAGAGAAACCAAGCGTTTGCTGCTGCTTCTGTGTATAAATGTTTGGCCAGGAAAACTTGTTCTGTAATTTAGCCTTTGGTGATAAAGTTAGCAGAAGTTACATACCGTTATAAAGTCTATAGGAATGTCATGTTCTTTAGTGACTCAGAGAACTCTGATAAAAGAGTTCTTAAGCTGATTTGTTCACCTTTCAATTTTTGCTTTCATTTTTGGATCGATAGGTTGGTCTGGTAGTGTTAGAGAATGACGATGATAATGAAAACGGTGTTATATAAAGTTATCCTACCTTGTATCTTCCCGTGAATAATTTTAAGATAGTACGTCCAACGTTCTGAAGAATGGGTTGTGTGTAAATATGTTAAGGAAGTGGCAGTTTTTGTATATCCCGGCGATAATATCTTCATAATGGTGATCATTATGTCGCTGAATTGCAGAAAAAGTGTTGGGAAGGGGTGAATTTGCGAGTTTGAGACCGACATCAGTTCATGTGTGTAGCTCAAAATTTAATGTATATTTATGAGCTAATATTCTCAATCGAAAATGTCTGCGGAGGAACATAAAGCCGTGCAAACCCATCATCTTCAAAGAAAATACCTGGCCGTTGGCATCTTTATTCATGTTTGCAAGCATTCTGGCGTGTACTTGTTTCCAAGCTGATTTTCGTACCATGGCATTATGCAATTGCATTGATACCATCTAAAATGTGAAGCTTTGCTTTTGGTGAGCGTATCGGATGCCTGCAAAAGTCTCAAAATCTGAAAAAAGAACGATTGCATCAGAAAATTTGTTGGAAAGTAGGAAGAATTCTTGGCTTATAGCGGGCTTAGCTAGAAGGAATCAACCCTTTATGCAGCAATTTTAGCCCAGATAGGGGGGGCTACTTTATTCTCTGCAACTGTTACCGTAGACATGCCATCGTCCATTCACCGTCTGTCCACATTTTCTAATGTAGTTTAGGCAAATGAGTTAACGAATCCATCTCACACCCTTTTGATTATGCTGGGAACTAAGAAACTTGGGTATCAAGACATCTTTTGTGAACTAAATCTGGCACACAAAAGGAAAACTAGAGCATTTAAGCTTTTACACGGTAGCATGATGGGACGCTGATGGGGGATCATAACCCCAAAAACCCATAACTAATCAGTAACTAAACCAACGCTTGCCTGGTAAAGCTTCAAAGGGTGGAACTGAGTTGGTAATCAAATGGCCGGAGATGTGTCGGTCACTTCCAAAACATTGCATGATGATCTGCAAAGGAGACTTGTGCACCTTGAAAACAGCACTGGACCCCTCTGATTGATCAGAAGAGCTAGATAAGTTCATGGAGGATGATCTTCCTGATTTGTTTTGCGTTGAGAAAAAAGAGAATATTCAGGGGTCATTTGACAAGGACAAGGCTGAGTTTAACTGCACTAATTGTTTTCATCGTCATCATCCCCCTGATCCTTAAAGACGTGTAGATGAAAAGCTTACAAAATATTGAAGGAACGTTGGTTTTCTACGAACCTGACGATGTCCATACATGAACACTAGCCCTGTAGAATATCCCTGGGAATTAAAGCTAGCTCAGCGACCAACGTTATGTCAAATACACCTGTTATGTAAGTGAAGATATAACAGATTATTTCTATATCCCAAAGATAATTACGCTATCATGATGATTATTCAGGCAAAATCACAGGAAAAGATCGAGTGTCAATGATGGAGCCTGAATATAATGGATTCCGAAGCTTCAATATTACATTATCCGAAATATGAACTCAAATTTTTCGTGAGCCCATTGCATGCCGCATGGCAAACTCATTTATGAAATGTTGCACCATTTTCTTTTTCTTGAATGAAAACAGAAGAGAACATTTTCTCCCAAGTTAGGAATTTCATTTAGTAAAAAAGGAAGAATTTTTTGCCATAGCAGGTGCAGAAACGAAGAAAAACAAAAACCCAAAAGAACCCCTACCAAATCAGCCCTATATTACTAGCCTGCCTTAAAAGAGCATCAACTAAAAACTGACTCCATAGATGACAAGAAAATTTATACTATGTGTATATCAGACTCCACTTGTATCCTACATTCATCAATTTCTAAGGCATAAAATATAATGAGTACAAAGAACGAATGGAATTTAGATTAAATTGAATGTAATGATTTATTTAGACTCTCCCATTTGGCCGGACCTTTGGGATGGACATCTACGAAATATTTTACAAATCGGGCATCTGAACAGGCAAGGAGTGTGCTCAAGGACAACTTGGGCTTGGCTGCTCCTCTTTCCCTTAGCCACACATACATCGAAAATCTGCGGCTAATTCTTTCCATATCATAACACAAATATGCTGGAAATGCCACTACAGATTCAAGTGGATAGCCTAACCAGTTTTTTAAGCAGTCAATTTTCTTCTCAATTACATCCTTTGACTGGTTAAGCACCATTGGAGCATGTCTAATTAGTTTTTTGACAACATTACAGTCCAAACCAGCATTTACCAGGCAATCAAACCTCTCCTGCAATTGATCCCCTCTGCCTCGGAACTGTTTCAATGCTTTCAACATCTCATCTGAGTTTTCCAGATAACCCAATCTCAACAAGAATGCTGTCTTCTCTAGATATTTACTTGTATCTTTTGAAGCTACCTGCCCACTGCTTTGGACCTTTGATTTAGAAGCCAAACTGAACCATTTCAGCGGATCTTCCTTTATAATTTGGCATAATTCTTCTTTCTCAACATTTAACTCCCTACAAACTGTTTTAGGGCCTTTCAGAGAACATGAACCCATAAGTTCCACATGCCTAGATACAATGTGTGCAATATCTTCAGTATCCATTGCAATATCAAACAAGAAATCCAATGCCTTCAAATGATTTTTGGTGCACTTAACTGACAAGATATGCGGATTCTGCTTAAACAAGGAATGAACCTCATTCATCCTTAGACCTAATTTGATTAAGCGGCCAAATAATACATAAACCTTCTTCCCTGAACCTTCAAACAACAACGCAGGATTTGTTTTAAATAAATTACCTAACTGCTCCTCATTATAACCCACTCTATCAAGAAAATTCAGCATGTCCAGCATCCTACCCCAATCATACATGCCCTTACCTGAAAGGTACCCTCCAATGTCATCATTCTTGATCCCCAATACTTTCAATTTCTCAAGAGCCCCAGCAAATTCAGTATCAACACCACCAACCAAAAGAGATGGACAACAACTAACAAGCTTTATAACTGTTGGTTTGCTGAGACCCAAAATCTCATAAGCCTGAAGCTTCAAAGCCAATACTCCATAATCATATCCAAAAATCTCCCTGGCCACTTTATACATCTTACCCATCTTACCACGAGGAATCCCATAATCACATAAAACATGAAAATTGTCGAGCATGACACTATCATCCCTCAAAAATATCAAGTGCTGAGGAACAAGTGTCGATACCTCTGAAGGGCTCAAACCCAAGCTCTCAAAAAATGGTTCAAACTCATTAACAGGATTGTACCTAAGGAATTTAGTTAAAGACTTTGCCACATCTTTCTCAGGATCAATCTTGGACAACAAATTTTGAAGAAAATGAGGTGAGTTCTTGCTAATATGCTCAGCATCCATGAAGCTAAAGCTCCTAGTAGAATGTAAGTAATCAAATAGAACAACCTGAGCCTCAGTTTTAGCCGCCCGTGAGATACGGCTAGCTAAACCAGAACTTGATAATCGTATGGAATCAGCCAGAGATGCTTTTGGTTTAAAGACAAGTCCAGAACTCCTAAAGTATCTAACACCGAGTGAAACAGAACATCGGTTGTGAACAACATAGGATTTCTCATAGACACTAGGAGACAAAACAACAAACTTGTCCAAATGGGTAATCATTTTAGACAACTTACAAATCCTCCTACGTATTCTACCTATAAACATAGCAAGATAAAGATAAAAAGACACAGGATTCGAGAACGGTTTTTCGAGAGAAACAACAGAAAATATTTGTGGTTATATCATGTTAAAGCTTAAATGAAAGTAAAGAACATGAAAAAGAGAAGTCGGTGGACTACCGTGTTGATTGGGGTTGCTAACCTGATTCAGGGGTTTATCACCAAACAAACTTCTTCAGGTCATGAAGAAGAACAATAGAGGAAGAATGGTTTTTTGAGAATATCGGCCAGTGTTTTTATGGAAATTTTGAGCTCTGTTTTGCCATTTGATAAAATCCTACATTAGGGTTTAACTCCTAAGCCAACGATTACACATATTCATTTCGTCATTGAAGTGACAAAAAATTGCAAATGCAATGCAGATTCAAAAGAGATGCATGATCGGGGGCTTTGGGCTTGCGCTCCTATATTGGTGGGCAGTCCAAACTGTCACCAGATCTTGAAAAGGAGCCCATTAAAACTTCACTTCCTTTTGAAGTTTTAACCCAAGCCCAATTTAGCAGACTGGTTTGGTTTTTAAGGGAAGCTGGTCTGAGTGGTCTGTGATCTTAATCCAGACCATGTTTATCCCTAATCATTGAAGGGGAAAGACCGAAAGAGAGGATCTTTATACGTTTTTTTGTTCTCAGCCAAAATGTGGATTTTATTAATAAACTGCGTAAAGTAGTAATAGGATATTTATAGGCTTGTGGAAGCCTACTTATTATGGCAGGCAGCTAAATTTCTATCAACTTAAAATCACTATTTAGAGACTAAGGAATTTGTGTATCAGTAAATGAGTAGTTGAATACAATTCCCTCATTTAAATTCTTTCATAATTCTTTAATTAAGATATATATATATATATATATTTCTCTAATAGTAGTAGTGTCACAATCTTGACATGAGAAACCATGTAAATATCACATCATAGAGATATACTCTCAACAGATAAAGACATAAGTCACACATCAAAGAAAAGCCTTTAGCGGGAAGTTAAGGGATAATGTCATGGTTTTAGGAGGAGTAATAAATCACACATTGGTTGTGTATTAGAGTAAATCCCACATAAATCACATAATTTTTAACTTATGTATTAGCAATGTGTCACTAAGAAAAGTGGGCAAAAGCGGATAATTCATTATAGATGTTAGTGTGGATCGTAAGGATTGGTGTGGATTATGACAATTGGTATGAAGGTAAACTTTGGATACTAATAATGTGCCATTAAAGACAGTGGAATGAACAATACTTCATATGATTATAGTAGATCATGACAATTGGTATCAAAGTAGACTTTGGATACTAACAATGTATCATAGACAATAGTGGATATTTCTTAACGTGAAACCATATGAATCTCACATGGAAAGATGTCACGGTCATTTAAAGGTTCACACTACCTTTAACTTGTGAGATTCTTTTTATGAGACAAAATCATAAGATTAGTGAACTAAAATCGATAATACCTTACAAAGAAAAGACTCTTTTTATGATACAAAATCATGAAATCAGAAAACCAAAACTGCTAATACTTTACAAAGAATGATATGGACCGTGACAAGTAGCACCTACCAAATCATCAATCTCATATAATCAAAAACAAAAATCAATTGCTATCACAAATATTGAAGCGTTGAAGGCTTAAGTTCATGATAAAAGAGTTCGATGTAGAATTTGCAAATTCTTTTCTCTCTTTTCTAACATAATCCATGCAAGGATAAAACCATGAAAACAGGTTTTTGGTTAATTGATGGCCGAAAGTTTCTTCATGGTCCTTCGGTTTTACAAATAAACTTAGTAAAGGAAAACGTAGCAGGTTGGAGATCCAAGAGGTTTGGATTCCAAATGCGAAAAAGACATGCGTCGGTTGAGCAAGTCATATGCTACTTGTTAATTTATTGTTAAAGAACAAGAAAAACATGTGAAAGAGTTATTTTTGCCTTCTCCTAACTAATGCAGGGAGTTGCTCAGCCATGGAAGATCATCATGCCAAAAGGCACAAAGGGATGGTCTGCTCCATCATGATTATCATTAACTCGTGGAACTCGTTTTCCACACCATGCTGCATAAGATTGCCCTTAGATGCTTTTTTTCAACAAGACTGCAGTGATCTCATATATATAAAACGTAAATGGAGAATGTTCTTGACTCTCTCGTCCTGTTTTACAAACTCAAACTTGAATGCAAGCTCCCAATTCTATTCCACCACACAATATTTAATCAGCTCGGGGACTCCATTACTCAGTCTTGGAATCATTTGGTTTCAAACACCCTGATTGCATCTAACAAATCAAGTTTGAAGGTTGAGGTCTTTCAATTATATAGTTTTAACGTATCTACTTCAATTTATTCTTATATTTTTATTAAAAATTGATTTAAGGATAACTAAATTTAATTTATGTATTAATTTCAATTATATGGTAACGTGACATGTTAATGTGAGCTTTTTTTATCACGTAACTTATATTAATATAAAAATAATTAAATTTATTTTTTAGAATTTAAAAATATTAATATATTATCTTAAAAATATTATTTAAAAATAATTAAAAGTGAAATTGCGTACAAAATTTAAATCTTAGATTGAAGGTATAGGCATAGTGTATATCCTCTTACCTTCCATGATGCCACATGAGGTGCCTTACCAAATTGGTTGGAAACCAAAGGGGGACCAAGAAAGCTTGATTTATACTTTCACACTCTCACTCTTACAATAAACAAAATGGGGATGCAATTGCAAAAAAAGTTTCTGTAAAATCATTTTAGAAATCTATTTCTTAATATAAGATTTAAATTCACATCATCCACTTAATAAATGGTTGCAATATCAAATCAAAACAACTTATTGTTCATAAGAAATAAAAATGGCAAATTTCTCTCAGTTGAAGAAATCTCTGTATGAGGCAATATTTGCAAATGTAGAGTCCTTATTCTCTTGGACTTGTGTAAAATTCAGATAAACTAAATTGGACCACATGCTCTTCATCCCTTGCTAATTGCCCTACACCTTGATGCCTCAAATGCTTACTCCCCAATACCAAGCACCAACCATTCCCCTCCCACGCTGTCACAACCACACCACACCAGCAGATGGGGTAATTATATGGTGTAGATTTAATAAGGACCTACAAAGTCATATGCATTTTGGCTCAAAGCATTTATGTTGAGTTTGGTACTCTCTTTTAAAAAAATTGCTACAAGTAGAGTGGATTATAAATATTTCGAATAGTAAAACTTAAATTTAAATAAAAAAAATTATAAATCTTATCATAATTCAAAAGCCAAACTTCTCTTTATTTGGTAAGAAGTGGATATATGAAATGAAGAATAACTTCCTGATTTATCCAAGCAATCATGCAAGTGGCATAACCCAAAAAAGTAAAGTGGCACCAAAATACAAATGAGATGATGGGTTGGATAGAAATCCAAAATTGGAACTATAATGGTTTTGGTTTTTGTCTTAATTATTTAATTCAATAGCAATGTTAAAGTTCATCACTATTAGAAGTTAGATACATACTTAGAAGACATGAAATTGAATGGTGTAATTTATGAGAGCAAAATCCAAAATCCCACATCACCCAAAAACAAGAGTCACACATTTCCCATTTTTTTCTCGTATCTCGCAATCTTACAAGGATTAACCACCCCACACTCTTAAGGGCCCAAAACCAACCAAAAAACTACACCCAAAGCAGTCATGGTCCAATCCCATCACTCCACGTATCCACAGATCCCAACTGCCCTTGCGTTCTTCGGTCCCTCCCTTAATTTTTCATATCCCTATGGTTTAGTTACTTAAACATCTTTCATTTATTGAGTTAGTTGGAGATTCGAAGTGCTCTTTCCAATTGATTAAACCTTACGGTTGGTGCACATTAATTTTATTTTTCTTTTGTATCCAAATGATAATAGCATTTCGGCAATTCCCTTCTTTTCACCCTATATTTTGAGCCTTCTCTTTCATGGGTTGTTGTTCCCCTTTGCATTCATTGAAAAGCTTTGGTTTTTGTATTGATTACCATTTTTTTTATTTGTCATTTTGTCAAGTACCCATTTGCTTCTGCTCCTTGTTTTGGGTTTTAAGGTTTCCTTCTTTTTGGGTCTCAGGCATTGATTAGCTTTGGTTTTTCTTCAAGCACCCATTTTTTTTCTGGTCCTTGGTTCGAGGTTCCTCTTTCCTCCTTCCTTTTCTCCCTTTAAATATACCTACCTGCATTTGTTTTGATTGCATGGTTGGTTCGTCAAATATGTAGGCCATGATTATGGTAAGCACATAAGTCTCATTTCTAAAGCTTCTTTGCTTCTGTCATGTTACATTTGATTACCTAATGTTGCTTTTCATCCCATTGTAATCTAGGTGTTTTCCTCATGGATTACTTCAAATTTCAATGCTTTTCACTATAAATGCATTTGCTTATCTGAAACGAAAATATTTGTTTGTATTCAGTCCTCAAATCTTAACTATTAGTATTTGCTTTCTTCATTTTAATTAAGCTTTCAGAGTTTTGGTTGGTCCTTGTTTGCTTCAACTTGACTAAATTGAAGTTGTCTTTTAAATGGAGAAGATTTTATACCTGATTTCTCTTGGAATAGGATGCATTTGATATCTGTTTTGATTATTTATCTCCTTGGAGTGTTTGCTTTTAGACTATATGGTTGGTGCACAATCAAATGTCAAAACTTCCTCCATATCTATTTTTCTTCTTTAGAACTTTTATTCTAAAATTGACATGTTTGAAGGTTTTCCTTTTTTTTTTTTCCTGACTACCTTTTTGTATTTGTTATGGAGTTGGAGAATGAAGGACTGATTAAACTACGGGAATTCTCTTGCTACTAAGCTTATTTTGAGATTGCAATATGACGGCAGTGCCTAAACAGACAGTTATGGCTATAAAGTCTTACCACAATCAGGCTCAGATGTTGGTCAAGAACTACTTATTGGCAGATCCCTTCATTCCATATACTTCCATCCTTGGTGGCATTCTTGCTTGCAAAGTGGTATGCTGATTTTTCCCCCTAGTAAATATGTTTTACTTTTGAATTCAGGATGATTGAATCCTAAGGCAGGATGTTTCCTTATACCCTTTAATGAAGCTTGCAGGAATGAATTTACATATTTTAAGTTAAATCATAAGTCTTTATTTTGATATTGTTATGTGATTACATGGGTGCTTTTCCCTTGGTCTCCTTTATTGATTCAGTTTACATGTTTTTCCCATACCTCAGGCCTATGATCTTACCCAGTTAATCAGCAACTTTTACATCAAGACTTACCCCAGTCTAACTAAAATTCAACGAGTAGAGTGGAACAATCGGTTAGTTTAGTGCATGATCTGGTTTATTTTTCCGCTTCTGTTATTATGTTCATTCACTCATTGGTCATTAACATATTCTTGGCAGTGGCATCTCTACAATTCATGCCATTTTTGTATCCGCTTTGTCAGTGTACTTTGTTTTCTGGTCGGATCTCTTTTCTGATCAACAGCTTGCTGGTCTTGTTGTCTTCCGAAGCTCACCACTCTCTACTTTCGGATTAGGGGTAAGTTTTGAACATCTTCTTATGTGATCTTGAAGAGGTTCAACCATGTATCTGTTGAGTCTATAGAATCTCAACTTTGAACTAGTATCCATGTTCTATGCTTATTTAATGAGGAATCACTATGTCCTATGTATATGCTTATGCTTGCTCTGGTTTTCATCTCATTCATTAGGTGAGATATGCTTATAGTTTCTTCCAAGAAGAAAGTTTCTTTTATCTTTTTCACCTTTTGAATGAAGTGATTAGCATACTTTTAGAACAAGCTGCATAATGGCAACCAGAAGGGACATCCCTTCCTTTTTCTCTTTTTCGCTTAAAACATGCTTCTCACCTTTATGGATGTTCACAGCTTCTTCGATCACTTTCTTGGATAAATTATTAGGTATCAACTTTTGGTATAAATCTTAGGACTTTTTAAATTAATGTTACAATATTTTACAGGTTTCTGTTGGATACTTCCTTTTGGATCTTGGAATGATTTTGTGGTTATATCCCTCTTTAGGTGGAATGGAATATGTAAGTGTATTCTCTACAACAAAAGCACTCTGGCTTACATGTTATTTTTTTGTTTATTTGTTATTGTAAGGAATGTAGGTAACAGTTCAACTGTTGGCACTGTCCTCAACATTTGAATGACACCTGCAACATCCTTGTAAGCTGAATCTTTAAAGGCTCAGCTATTTTCCTTACACCATTTAACTTACAGCAAACCTATTTTGGTTCATTAACATATATATTTTTTGATTTATGGTTCATTAACTGACTATGAAACAGAAAGCATGCAAGCATAGGGTAGTTAGGCTTCTAGATCCAAGGTTTTAATTTAATTAAATTTTGGAACAACTTTGACAAGTGTCTTTTTCATGTTGAGTAGAGTTGAATCTGCATAAAACTGGTAACTGTTTAAAAGCACAGTAGGTCACATATTAAAAGGTGTTGCAAGCTTAAAGTTCATATGATTGTGGAGTATATGCAATCTAAGCAATAAATAATAAGATTCTAGCATCTGATTGCAGGTTATCCATCACTCACTTTCTGGAATTGCGGTGGCATATGCGATGTCTACTGGAGAAGCACAGCTTTACACGTACATGGTTCTTATATCTGAGCTGACAACTCCAGAGATTAATATGAGATGGTAAGTTCTTACTAGTTAGGTTTTTATTTGTTGAAATTCTGATTGTAATCATCTCATGCTTCTGTGATGAAGGTATCTTGATACAGCTGGTATGAAGAGGTCCAGTGCATATCTCATTAATGGTGTTGTCATCTTTTTTGCTTGGCTGGTGAGCGAAACTTTTCTTAAGTTTTCGTTATAAAATGGACATGTGTTGTTAAATATTACACCATAAAACCTGTGCCACAGAAAGAATAGGGAAACGAAGGGGAAGAAAGGTTGCATCGATGTTTAAATGTGGATGGCCAATGGCCATCAAAACTAACTGACTGAAGTTTCTCCATCACTTAGAAACTTTCTTGAGGATATTGCATATCTTTGTGATAGTAAAGAAGGGAAGTTCCTAAGTTTTTTTTTTTTTTCCTTGCTGTTTTTCATTTTTTAATAAGCTCCTTTTCCTTGAACTTTAAACCTTTTCTAGGAGCTGAATTAAATTTGAATTGCAGATTGCAAGAGTTCTGCTGTTTGGCTACATGTTCTACCATGTGTATTTGCATTATGATCAGGTAAATTCACCATCCTGATTTCCACCTTTAACTGAATATTTATGTTGTCTTCAACTAGTTTGCTGCATTGACTAATATTTGGCTGTGATTCTGTATCTTCTTTCCACGAATTGGTTTGTGTTAATATCTGGTTGTTGCTAAGAGTAGTGTCTGGAAGAGACAAATAGCATTAAAAGTAGGAATCTATCATTTGTTTATTCAACAAAATTTCCAAATTTCCAGTGGCTATTGCTTCCAGCTTTGCTGCAACGTCTTTTTTCCTTGCCCATCTTTCTTTTCTTTCTCATTTTTTTTTTTTAAATTCTCCTTATCTTTCTTATTTGCATGAAAGAATTGCTAAGCATCATTAATTATTTAATGATTTACGAATTACAACTTCCAAGTATTGTGTATACTTCATCCCATAAAAAGTTCCAAGTAATATTTTAAAGCATGGGTCTTATACATATCAGTCTTTAGTCTTCTTTTCATCCTGAAATTTACCCTCTTTTTTGGTTCTGTTTCGTATTTATTCTATAAGAGTGCTACTCTCCTGTAGATTGATCCTGTACTTCCTGCAGTAATAAACTCTTTAGAAATTCCATGTCCAAATAATATACTATTTGAACAGATCCGGCATCCCTGATTGCTTTGCTGTAAGGTTTTTGGTATAAATCTGTTCTGACTTGTTTGGCTCAGTAGGTGATCCAGATGCATACCTTTGGTTATGTCTTGGTTTTTGGGGTGCCATCAGTATTAGCTACCATGAACTTGATGTGGTTTGGGAAAATTGTTAGAGGTTTGGTGAAGACTTTAGCAAAGAGGCAATAACAGATACCAGAGGAAGTAGACATGATTCTAATATCTTCAGCTATTGTTCTGTCAAAGCTTTGTATATTTTTCTACTTCTGCAATGTATAAATGATAGAGAAAAGGTCAAAATCTGAGTACCAAAGAAAAATGACTCTGATCTGATTTTTCCAGTTGCTGGAGATGGCATTGCTGTAAATTGTTCCAATTTAATATACTATTTCAGTATTTACTTCAAATGTCTGGTTCAGAGTTGTCTTATTCTCGGTCTGTACACCATATCTTGCAATTTTGTTGGCTTTTATGAATGTAAGTTACTTCTAAAGATTTCCAAGGACAAGTAATGCTTTAAAGCAAAACGCCAATACCTAACTATCAGCTAAGTCATATTCATTCTGCATGGAGCAAATTCAATCTTTCTGCACTAAGATCAGAATCAATGTATTGATGATAAAGTGGTGGCGATTAATATATGTGCTTTGTTATTGTTTATAGTATTAGTGGAGAATTTCTCGTTTAAAGTTAAAGATGCTCCTACATACAATAGAGTAATCCGAAAGACGAAAAAGTGTTGATCTTTTCCACTCCATTGGCCCAAAACTGACCATCTTTTTAAACCAACCAATCTCGCGTTTTTGACAACAGATCAACAATTCCAATAGAACCCTTGTTCATGATCCCTTTCTTGTCTATAGCCACAAGGCAGTAAACTCTCACAATCATTATTCTAGTTGATATTGATCAAGAGAAAAAACCTTGGTCAAGTGCATATGGGTGCTAAACATGCTTGCAGTATCACACTGCCAATATGGGTGCTAAACTCTGCTAGTTGATATTCACATTACTTCATTTAGCATATTGAGGATTCTCTGACTGACACCACAACCACAAAATACTACTCTTCAGAAATGTTTATTTATATGGGGTGCTTCTGCATATGTCACTTGATTCACTAAAATACTAGTAGTTTTTTTCCTATGTAACTGTCTCTTAGAATGGACAATGCAATTCGCCAGTAACATTCATCTCCAGCACCAAAGACAGGAAAACATAATTCTCATGCATAAGTCCCTTTCCTCTACAGTTTTGTTCTTTTCAGTTATTTGGTTTATTTATTTCGCTATGATACCAGTTGAATTCTAAACCGTTCTACCTCTAGTGGAATGTACTTGTATCAACATTGATAAAACACCAAAACCAAAAGCCACATCAGCAATGATCTGCATGGGACAGCAGTAACCTTGATACTTTCCAGCAAGAAGGAAGTAGGCTAATTGTATCAACATTTTTCTTCTTAATTTGTTCATATAACCACCATTGCAGAAAGTGGTTTTATTCTGAGATTATGCAAACTCAGACCTTGAGGCCTAACTTAGCATGATATTTTTAGCTGATCAGATATATGTATTGATCAAGCATTCAAGCCCTTAATGGCTTGCGTATGTTAAAATGGAGACGTCATTGGCCGAACAAAACAATCAACTGAAGTGATCTATAAACAGATATTTAACAAGTAACTTGGGAAGAAGTACACAGGAAATTTCTTTGGTCGTAACATGTTGAAGCTTCTGCAACTCCTTTCATTAACAAGTAACTAACACAACTGAACTAGGCAAACAGGCAATGATTTGGTGGCTACAACAAGTCATATTGTTCTTGAAGTTTCTGCTAAAGACTAGATAAGGGGTTGGCAGAAATGAGCTGGATTCTTTATTAAGAACATATCGCAGCAGAGATTTGTTCACCAGATATCAAAGGTTGGTTTATCAATTATTCTATACAAAAAGGCACCTTTGCATCTGTATATTTGTCCATAGTCCGTTAAGCTTAAGCCCCATGTCTTTTACCTACTCTGTAATGCTTAATGACACAGACGATGCATTAGGACGAATCTTGAACAGCATTTTAATTTTCTCAACTTTTGGTACCAGAAACTAACCTGGCATGCGAATGCTTTTACGCAGCTCTTCTTTCTGTTTTGTCTCCCCCTTTTTTTTTCCTTTTTATGTTCTCTTCCTTTTCCGTATAATTAGATCAAAAGAACTATAAAATGAAGAACAATAAGTTAAATTAGACAAGTATATATATAGCTAGCAAGCTTTCAATTCATATGCCTCCTTGACTTGTTTTAGTCTTCCATTCTTAATTTCAGCACAAATTTGTTCAACTGATCAGGCTTCAAAAATGATGAATTAATCCAAGTGACCTAACAGCATATCCACATATATAAATCTGACAGGATCAGTACAGTAACTAAAAGAAAATATATATATACTTTTGAAGCTCTTTAATGCATTACTTTGCTGTAAGAATTCCATTAAAAAGTCAAAAAAACGACAAACCTACAACAAGTGCAAGCAGTTAAGATACTTGCAATATTAAAAAAAAAAAAAGATGAAGTTCTTTAGTGTTTGCAGTCTTGCAGAAGAGCTGCAGGGCATTGTTTTTAAATGTTTAACATCTGACAACTAACTAACTTCTTCACTATAATAATCTGGCAAGTACATTCACGAGTTGTAGTCCTAACTAAAAGAAAGAATGTCTTTGGAAGTGGTCCGATGTTGTAATCCAACATCATTATTGAGTAAAATACAAAAAACCTCCCCTGAAAATATACCTTAAGTACACTTAAAACCCTTTTGTTGCAAAATGATCATCAGTTGACTAACAGTAGTGGATTGCAAGTGGGAGAAACAATGCATTTTGAAATAAGATATGGGCCAAGTGCAGTTGAGGTATAGTCTCAAGGGGTTTGTGTACTTTACTAAATTTAGTGATATATAGTTAGTTTTGCCAAATGAAGTCAAAGGCATGTGAGAATTTTGTGTTAGAATTATATGTGATTCTCATGCGACAATTGTGTTGCCACACATGGACGCTGGAGTTTATGGATTTCGCGTCAAATCCATGTCATTGCCTGCGGAAAAGAAGGATTTGGTCCAAAGATTGCTCCTGTTAATTTTACAGAAATTTAAAGCTCCTAAAGCCGCATTCAACCTTTTGGCGCATTCAGATTAAGTAGCATGCAGGCCACTATCTCTCTCCGTTGATTCTGTGAGACTTGTCAATGACTCTATCCGAGGCGAAACTTAAAAAGTTAAGAAGGCAATGCTGCGGGGATTACTGCCGCTGTCTTCACTCCCATTATAATATTATCAAAATGGTAGAACTAAATTCGAACTCCTTTTACAACTGCTTTTGAATCAGATTGGAGACAGAGATGAAATTTTCTAAGCCATCCTTCGAGTACAGATTAATTACGAAGGTTTTTTTAAGGACATCATCGTCCAAAAGATTACAGAAGAAGAGGTTTTGAAACTGATCATATCGTAACTTATGGCTCTGCTACACAGAAGTATTGGAGCAAAGTAAATCCCATATTCTAAGCATCTTAAAGGCGTTTAGCACATGCTTCCACAAAAAAGGCATGCCTTTCTGATGAAAATGTTTTCTTCTAAACAGCAGTTGTGCTCAGTGATTAGCAAAGTAACTACGCATGATGCGTGCTCGCCACTATTATCATCATCAAGTTTTAAGACACAATATTCCATGGAAGCTCCTGCTTCACATGAAACTGAAACATGGGTTCCTCTTTGTTTTGCTTGAATCAGAAGACAAAACTTTGATACCACATATAAACATATTATAATATTTGGCATGCGCACTTCAACTAGCTTCAAAGGGGATTTTGTTTGCAGTACCCTCTGATTATCCATTCGGCGAGCACCACTTGCCGTCCATTTCGACTTCAACTAATGTCATGCAGACAAACTTTTGTTTTCATTAATCTTAGTACTCTTTGATTATAATTCATGGACATGTTGGTGGGAATAAATGTGGATCACGCGCACTCCACGTTCAAAATACTATTCAAATTGTTCTGTTCATGCAATTTCTGTTATAACCTAATTTCAAGCATAAATTAACCAAGGTTTTCCATCTATAAATACCTTCTTTCGATCGATTCAATTCATCTCAGAACACAAATAAACAGTTTCCAATGGCAACATCTTACTCCACCATCACCACCATTCTTTTCCTCCTACTCATTGCATTCTTCAATCTCAATCAAACCCTAGCTGGGAATAGAAACCCTAATTCAGTCGTTCTTGGTCTTAAACGTTCTAGCACTTCCTTTCCTATACCTAAAGCCTCCAAACACTCAAGAAAGAGACTTTCAGAAGTATCAGATATGGTTGAGCAATTGAGGGCAGTTAGAGATGGATATTTGATAAGTTTAAATATAGGAACACCTGCACAGGTTATCCAAGTTTACATGGATACTGGGAGTGACCTGACTTGGGTTCCTTGTGGCAATATATCTTTTGACTGCCTGGATTGTGATGACTATAGGAACAATAAGTTAATGGGTACTTTCTCCCCTTCTCATTCTTCTTCAGCTGTTAGAGACTCCTGCGGCAGCACTTTTTGCCTTGACATCCATAGCTCTGATAACTCTTTTGATCCATGCGTTGAGGCTGGATGTTCATTAAGTACCCTACTCAAAGCCACCTGTTCAAGGCCCTGTCCTTCCTTCGCCTATACCTATGGTGAAGGAGGGCTAGTCACAGGGACACTCACCAGGGATAACCTTAGGGTTCATGGTAGTAGCCTTGAAATCACTAGGGACATTCCCAGGTTTTCTTTCGGTTGTGTCGGCTCTACTTATCGAGAGCCTATTGGCATTGCAGGGTTTGGTAAGGGTGTACTTTCTGTACCCTCACAGTTAGGGTTCCTCCAAAAAGGCTTTTCTTACTGCTTCTTAGCCTTTAAGTATGCGAACAATCCGAATATTTCAAGCCCATTATTCATGGGAGATGTTGCTGTATCTTCGGATGACAATTTGCAGTTCACCCCAATGTTGAAGAGTCCCATGTTCCCCAACTACTACTACATTGGTCTAGAGGCCATAACTGTAGGCAATATTAGTTCTGCTGAAGTCCCTTTAAACTTGAGGGAGTTTGATTCACAAGGCAATGGGGGTATGTTGATTGATTCAGGAACCACTTACACTCACCTTCCAGAGCCATTCTATTCACAAATTCTCTCAATGCTCCAATCAGTGGTGACCTATCCTCGAGCCACAGATGTAGAAACGCGAACAGGATTTGATCTCTGTTATAGAGTTCCATGTCCAAATAACAGATTTACAAATGATCCTTTCCCTTCAATCACTTTCCATTTCTTGAACAATGTAAGTCTTGTTCTGCCCCAAGCTAACTACTTCTATGCCATGAGTGCTCCAAGTAACTCAACTGGGGTGAAATGCCTACTGTTCCAAGGCATGGATGATGGTAATTATGGACCAGCCGGGGTATTCGGGAACTTCCAACAGCAAAACGTGAAAGTTGTCTATGACTTGGAGAAAGAGAGAATTGGGTTTCAACCAATGGACTGTGCTGCAGCCGCAGCCTCTCAGGGACTTCACAAGAACTGATTTCAGTGGTAGTTAATGGTAGTTCTTGCTGTTAGCCTGTGGTGCATCATTTGGCCCACATAATAATGAGGCATGACAGTTTCTACATTTGAATAATGTGTTGTAGCTGCTGCTTTTTTATTTTTGCTCAAGTTAGTTTGTACTTGATAATTAGTCAATGTACAAACTAGATTTGATGGTGTAAGGTTTCGGATTCATCAAGATAAACGAGCTGGTGTTATTCTTATTGCTTACCTACAAGGAAACAAATTATGGTGGAGCAAGTTTTTATGAAGTATATTATCAGAGTAATGGGTGTGACGAGGATGACGTAGTGTTGCACATGCCAAAAGAGCATAAGAAATAAACATCTTAAAATTGGTGGAATCATGAGCAACTCAGAGATCATGGGATTCTTTTTCTGCTTCTATGTTTCGCACGATAATATTGATGTAGTTTGTTTATCATGCAATCAATCATTGGTATTGACCTAGAGATTCATTTTTAAAAGAAGCTTAATTCGTCCTCTACTCAGTCTGCTACTTGTCCTTAACTAACATAAGTCCAAGCATAAAATTAAAGCTTCATCTTGCCAGCTAGAAATCCAATCCACGATCATGGAAGATGGAGGTTTTTATTTTTTTTAATTTTTTTGCATCAGATATGCCAAATAACATGAATTTGGATTTTGATTACGCCACCAAACAATTTATTTATATAAGGTTTCGTTAAGTTCACCAACTACGTCTAAAATAAGCAAAACAGAACTAAAACAAGCGAGAAGCATGGCTTGGTTAGAAAAATGGAAACTAGGAACTGGAAAGCTCACCTATAATATCCGGAATGATGAGTATTCAAAAGCTTTGCCTTCCGCTTTTCCCCCACAGTGAGTTGAACAGGAGAATTATTATAGTATATAATAACACTAATACCTTTTAGACTTTACTCGTAAGCCATAACTATCACTAAAGCAGAGATCGATCTTTCGGAATGGAATCCAACATCTAAAAAATTGGGTCTCAACTCAACGGAAGCATAGGCTTCTAAATAGATTTACCCAAGTTGAGACTTCACAGTTATCATGGCGCAGGAAGAATGAAAATGGTCATGTTGAAACTAGTTGATTGGCTTTCTTTTGCATCTTCCGGTAAGTGCTAGGTCTAGAAGAAGCTATAAAATATTCACTTCAGGAAAGTGAAGCTCCACCCATTAAAAGCCTATAGCAAGATTTTGTACTGCTTTAAAGCAGAGGAATAAAAAAGGAAAAGGTCCAACGTCCTTGCGCATGACAAGGCCACAGAATCTACTCCGAAGCATTTTAAAAGCTACCAGCGGCACAAGGAACAGCATTCTAAGCGCCTTTCACTAAATACATAAACTGAATGAGCCAAAACCCGTCCGGGTGCGCCCCAGCTGCTGAGTTAAGGAGTATAGGTCATCCCCAAGACCCCAGAATCCAGATGGTAATTCACTATATCGTTATCAAGCAATACAGTCTCTTCACAATTATCACAGGAAATGGCACTTTTTTATTTTAACATGTAGGTTATACTATGGAAGTTAAACATACCATTACCACACTTAATTTACAAGAAAAACCAATCTCCATCGCAATTAATGGGTCTGGACGACATGCATGTACAGTTCTGAATGAACAAGGTAAAGTAAGGAAGATAAAACTTTGCTTTACGGAGAGCATTACAAGAGCTACTTAGGAGTTTCAGGCAGGCAGCAACCACCACCTAAGAGCAACAAGATGCACTTGCTGTCCGTTCCGCAGGTCTATCCATGAGAACCATTCCAGCAGGATTTTGTGCTGGCTGCACTCGAGGCAATCTTTTAGCTGTACAAAATAAAATCAGTCAATTGCCAATTCAATAAACAAATAATGCAAGCTTTTGGAAACTTAACAAATAAAATACCTATTTCATAGAAAATGTCATTGACATTGGATGCAGTCTTTGCAGAAGTTTCCATGAAGAAAAGACCATTCTCCTGAGCATAGGTTTGTGCTTCCTGAATCACCAAGAAGAATATGAAGTCAAATTAACATTTGTATGTAGGTTGAAGTCAAAATAAACTTGAACCATGTCTATTGACCTTTTACAATATCAAAGAGAGATATAATGTTTAAATTTGAAAGCAATAGAGATATGAAGTAAATTTGATAACTTGCCTCAGCTGCCACCTTCCTTGCATCTAGTAAATCAGCTTTGTTCCCAGCAAGTGCCATAACCATATTAGGGTTGCCTTCACAGGAAAAGGAAAAGAAGAAAGTTAACAACAAAATATTAGAATTCAATTACTCATAGAGTTAAATAAACATGTCACAAGGATAAAAATAAGAACAATAACCTAAACATTTATGATCAGCAAAAATCCTACCTTGTGCTTGAAGTTCTTGGACCCATTTTTTGGCTCTCTCAAATGATGCCTACAAAATAAGAACTCTATTACTATTCTTTTGGATACTAAATGTCACTCCACATCTCTACTAAATTTCAACAAAAGCAATATTACTGTTTTATTCTTCAAACTAAAACAAAATTTCACCCTGAGTTTTTAAAATCCTTAATAATAAGTGCTAGCTTCGATGAGTTGGCGAGTTCTAATACTGTATAGAATTATGCACTAAAATGCCTCAAATACAAATCCTCTTCACAGACCCCCGCCCCTTCCTTTTTTTTCCTTCTCTTGCAATAAGAGCAACTTTAAATACAGAAGAGGAAACCAATCGAACAAAAGTATTTAAGAGGAAAGAATGGGAGGGGGGGAAGGGGAGAAGGACCAATGTTAACAAATTTACGCTAAATCCAGGAGAATCTTACTTTTCCTTCAACTGACAACCTTCCTATTTGAGATCCCTCTAAGCGAAATCATAGCATGACTAACATGATTCTCGAGAAGATACTCCAGTAGTCTTGATTGAGGCATCAACCAGACAAAATTCAAGTAAAACTTGAGTTGCAAACATCATAAAACTAGATTCATAGAAAGCTTGCCTTGAGAACAGTAATGTTTAGCGGATTTTAACTCAGTATTACATGTTCCCAAAGTTTTGATTGTTCATCTCCCAGCTTCACATTTTGAGCAATAGGCAGTTTAGTTTTCAAAGGACCAAAACACATAGAGATGACAATGGTTTGCCATCATGAACTTACTTGATTTGTTATATCATACACAATGATTGCAGCTGCAGCTCCTCTGTAGTACATTGGTGCCAAGCTATGGTATCGCTCTTGACCAGCTGTATCCCAAATCTCAAACTTTACAGTTGCATCATTCACAGCCAACGTCTGGGAGAAAAAAGCTGCACCTATGGTTGATTCCTACATTATAAGATAAACGTCAAGTTATATATTCCTCAGTGAGATTTTGAATCAATAATGTTCTAACTCACAAAAATCAATAACAGCACCAACCTGAAATTCGACAAATTGTCCTTTAACAAAGCGCAACACAAGACTAGACTTCCCAGCTCCAACATCCCCAAGTAGAACCTGAATAAAAAAATACAGGTTAACAACCACTACATGGAAGAAAGCCACCAGTTCAGAGTTCAAACCAAAGGCCCAACTCAACTTTCTGGTATAAACACAACAATTAGGTGATCATATTCTAGACATGTTTTGCTGCACCATGGCAAATTAAAATAGATATATTTGACGCCAAAATGATGCATCCACAAAGTGTAAGGTTTCTAATTAGAACACATGACTACTAGTCGAAGCTAATAAAATAAAGTAGTTGATACGATATCAACATAATATCCACTATAAGAACAACAATAAATCCCAAAGAAATTAGCATAAATCTAAGCATAAACTCGTAAGTAAGACAGAGTCAAAATTTTAACAAAACCTCTAAGTTATAAGCAACCTAAATCAGCAGCCTAGAAAGAGAAAGAAACAAGGAAAATAAAACAAGAAAATTAACTTTGAGGATCAAAACAAAACCCACATGACTCGATCGGCTCTAAAACAAACCAACAAAATGGAAACAATATTCTCCAAAAATAAGCCAAACCCTTATCACAATTCACATTAAAAAAAAAAAACATGCATCATCCACCAAGACCCAGATCAGAATTCAGCATCTAAACCCGCCCCAACGCACAAATTACAAAGTACAATTAAAAAGGGCTATCGTAGGGAACAAAAGCGGGGTTTAAGATCAAGAGAGAAAGAGAGAAACTAACCAATTTAGCATTAATGTTCTTGTTTCCAGTGGTGGCCATGAGATCCTCTGTAATCAGATTTATGTTCCGAACAAAAACAGATCTAGGGAAATTATATGTATTAATTAAAAAGAAAATTGAGAGTTGTGGCTTGTTGAAGGCGTTGACGAAGAAAGAGGGTGTTAAAGCAAAAGGGTAAAGGCAAAGGGAAGGATCCTCCTCAACCCTCAAACCAAACTATACTCTCTCTCCCTCTCTCACAATGTCTTAACCCAAACTCGAAAGCGATCGCTGTTCTATTTTTTATTGGAATTGCGTTTCATTCTTTTATAATCTCTTTTACTTTTATTTCGTCATATTCCACGTGGCAACAACTGAGCCATTATCTTTTCTGTTTTCGGCCACCTGCTCTTTGCCATAGCCCAAGATTATGCTCCATTGTTGAATGACTCTTAACAAGCTTGGGCTTTGTCTTTCAGAATTCAAGACTTTTAGGGCCCATAAGCCATTGGGCATTTGAGCCCTCAAAGAACTCCACCTGACCCTGAGAAACCAGGGTTCAACAACAATAGCCCAACAAAATGAAAGATGGGAAATCCAAAACATCACTCAACATTTGCATTTCCATATAAACCAGGCAACAAACACAAACACAAAAGACCGGCCATGGGACCTCATCCTGCTAATAATGTGCAGAAACATCAAGTTCTGAACTCATACCTTTCATGAATTTTCCAGACATGTTTCCCCAATAATAGAAGAAATCTTAACAGAAAACTGTGACAACTTCCAACTAGTGAATAACTGGTTTGTATTATGTAACTTCTCATTTGGTGTAATTAGTGAAGAATCAAAATTTTAGCTGTTCATTTTCATGCATAGTTGATTTCGAGTTCTCAAATTCAGCAGCAAAGCTTCTCAATGCTTTTCATTTGGATCTTAAGAGCCTTTGAATCCCATATCAAGGTGCTTGGGAATAGTGCATGACACTGCTCGTGCCTACTAAGTTTTACGGATGAAAATAAATTTTCTAATCTCTGGAGTCTTAAGACAAGACTTCTAAGGTTTTCCTAGGGCAAGCATTCTTTATATGAGCATGCTCTAAAGGTGAAGCTGATATACTGTGCACAATGGCTAGAAATGTTGATGTTCTTGAGGACTCTTATTCTTTTTTTTTCCCCGATATTTTTTGTTTGTATGCTCTGTCAGATCACAACAAAGCATCTTTGGAACAAGCAAGAAGCCAGCAGATTTGGCTTTTTACCTGGAGTCTCAACCCAAAGATGGCTCTAGTAGTTATAGTTGTTTTTCTTTTGTTGTTGATAAGGCATCTTTGAAAGGTCATAGTCCTCCATTTCGAATTCATGTTGGGCATCAATGGGTCCTCCTTGCCAATCAGTTTCATTTAACTTCTCAAGTATATATTTATATTATACAAAAAATGTCCACTGTGCAACAACTATTATCAGGTCTCATGCGGTTAGCTAAGTCTGCAAGTAAATGTCATAGTACTATCCTTACTGTTAACTGTACTATCGAATTCTGAAATCATTAGACATTTCAGTCAGAAACAAAACTTGATTATTGAGAATTTACTTGCTTGTATTAAGAGAAGAAAAATAATGAAGTAATACGCAGATTTTAAGAGTTTAGACCCTTAATGTGCAACAGAGCAATTTTATATTCATCCCTAGAGAAGAAAAGGAGATAAAACACAGAGGGAAGAAGGGGTTGTTGTCTTTTTGTGACAGTGTGGGGGGTGGGGAGAGAAAGGTGAAGCAGCAGTACCATTCTACCAAAAGAACAAAAAATGTGAAACAGTAAAAGTGTTGCAAATGGCCAAAATAGAGGGGGTGGTAGATAGTAATTTGACTGATGATAACACAGAAAAAAGGATACAAAAGCTGAAAATGCCCATTTTATCCAGGCTCTCTATCATAACACTCTATAAAGAAGAAAGCAAACTTTATTAGTACACAACCTTTTGTCAGAAAATTACAACCAAGCCTACCAAATTAGCCAATAATGACCCCCTCTTCCTTTCTCTCTCACTCTGAATTCTCAGTGGAAAATAAAGAGAAAGAAAGAAGGCCCAACTTTTGCCACAGGCCACCAGCCTTCTCAAGAGAATACAAGACTACCTCCAATAATAGCGCCAGAATGGCACTTTGGTAAATTTATCAACCATTGGCATCCCTCAGGGTTCAGAGATCCATTGACTGGTCGCCTTTGACCAGTCCCAGAGAAGTTCTGGTCGCTGCCCAGTTGCTGCAACGTTTCTCTCACATTTCTACCTCATAAATGATTAGATGAGCAGCTCCCCTTGTTCCACTTCCCCACCATGGCATGTGTGATTCACACTCCAAACTCTGTAATGTGAAACGGATCCTTGGGGTTTCTTTTGTAAACAAGAGAGAGTGGGGTTGATATCCCATACCTGTCATTAGATACTTTAGCGGAATCTCCCTGTTCAATGTTTTGCAAAGGTACTGTAACACTGCAAGTCTGTAACAAATTACGGCAACTTAATAAAAGTTGTAGAGTTTGCATCACAATCTAGATGTCAAGCACTTATGGTGTGACCTACCACTTTAATTCATGTGATCAAGAATTTGGAAGAAGAATATATCATTTTCTCACTCAATACATATAAAGTTTACCATCTGATCAACAAGAGAATTAATGTAATCCATATTCAAGCCATACTGTCCTTGAAGATAAACCCAAATGCACAACAATTTGCTTATATTTCACTTTTGGTAGTATTACAACCAACCCTAGTTTGTGTTTAAACACTTGACATGAAAGAGATAAGAGTTTAAAGACATAATTAGAATGATCAATGAAAGTGAGTACAACATAAAATTTAGATCACAAATGGGACAACCAATTACTATATACAACTACCAATGTGATTAATTAATCTCTCCCTGTCTTAGATATTAATGGATAGTTGCTCTTTTTTCATCAATAAGAGAATCACTTTGGAGCTGACTGGTTCTTGTGGGAAGCCAGAGCGAGGATAGAATTAGCAAGCTTGTTAATGGCAACAACCAGGCCATCAATGCCGTTTCTGTTGATCTCTGTCCTAGATTCCTCAATCTTGAGTCTTCTCTCATGCAAACTAACAAGATCTCTATGTCTTCTCTCCTCTCTTTCCTCACTAGCCTGGATGGCTTCCGCTATGATGGAAGCACTTTTAGAGATTGCAGTGCCCACTTCATTTGAGTTGTTTGCACTTGCAGTGCCACTGGTGCCTTCCCCATTACCTCCTGATCTTCTCCTTCTCTTTGCAGGTGAGTCGGAATACTCACTTGTATCAGAATCTGAGCTATCACACATCTCCAAAACATAAAAATATGGAACCAATGAAATCAATCAATACTAACTGAAAATTTATGACACATGATTACTACTATTAATAATTAGCGATGAAATCAGCCAACTCTCAGCCCTTCCCAACAAAAATGAATACTACTCTTAAAAGGCACATTCAATCAGTGCATCATCATAAACAGTAGTAGTTTCTAAAATGGCATACGAAAAGCATGGGAAGTAGTACATTAATTTCGCAAAAGAGAGAAAATACAAACCCTGCAACATTATTATGGAGCAAATTGAAAGCAACCCTTGATGTATGGGCAAAGAAAGAATATTATTCAGAAAATTGTTAGCAATATTATGATAAATAGTGAAAAAAATGCGATATGAGCAAGGCAAGGGAGAGAGAGAAGAGTACCTACTGTGGGCAATGGCTGAGCATAAGGAAGGGGAGATGGTTGCACGAGTGGTGCAGGAGCAGCTGTTGGCGGCGGCAGCGGCGGCAGTGCTGGTAGAGGTAATGCAATTGCTGGAGGAATAGCAGCAGGAAGTTGGTGTTGCAATAGAGGAGGCAATAAAGGTTGCACACTAGTCATTGGTCTATCCATAACATAAGGTATGTTGGGATTGGGACCTGACCCACCAGCAGCCACCACTCTTTGAACTCCTTTCTTCTCCACCACCTCCTCCAAATGCTCATATATCTGGCGCAACATGTTACTGGGCAAGTTCTTTTCTTTTCTTGCATTCTTCTCCATCTCCCAATAAGATCCTTCGTTATTATTATTATTCCCTTCTCCTGCCTCAGCTGTTCTCCTTTGGTACTCTCTCACTTTCTTGTAGTCCCTCATGAGATTATCCCACTTGTCATTGCACTGGTTTTGGCTCCTCATACACCCTTTTCTCCAACAATAATCTTCCACCCATTTCCATCTTAGCTCTGTTGGTTTGCTCCTCCCTTCACTGTCCCCACTTTTCTTCATTCTCCTCTCATCATCCATCTTCTTTGCCTCAATCAATACCATTGTTTCATTAACAGTCCAGTTTCCTTTCCTGTATTCCCTCATTACAATATTGTTACCACCTTGATCAGCCATCACCAAGTGCATGCGACACCCTAACAAAACATAGGGAGAGATGAGGGAGAAGGAGAGCTAGGGAGAAGCTGGAGCTATCTGATTAATGCTCTAGAAAAGGGAGCAAGATGAACCCTTTTTACAAGAGGAGCTTGAAAGAATGAAAACTTGGCCCAAGGGGGTCTAATACTGAATACTTGTGACTTTTGCTCTCTTTTTGGAGACCTGATTTGATGTCGGGTAACAAAAGTAGTCAAATATCACAAGATTGCTAATTGAGGCAAGAATTAATATGGGTTCTACCTAAAGCTAAAGATCAGTGCCTCAATAACACATCACTCTTTAAGACAAAAAAACAAAGGGTCGTCTTGTTTTCATGATTTTGGTGATTTCAAAGAGGAGAATTATGTTTGCTAATGAAAATGAAAATGGGGGAAGCAAGGCCAAGTTAAGCAGCTGCCTGTTTTGGTGTCACCATCTATCTCTTCTTTTTCCTCCACTTCAAACTTTTAACTCCTTTTTCGTGTGCCTGTGTTTTGGTTTGCACTCCGCCCTTAAAATCATCAAAAAATCTTCAAAGTTGAAAGTTGAAATCTAAAACTACTTATTCAAACCACTGCTCCCCACAAAGTGAGGGAAAGAAAACAATGAGAGAGAGAGAGAGAGAGAAGGGGGGTGAGAGAGGAAGGGTGGGAGAGAGAAAGAGCTATCTAGCGTACCATTATAAGAAGAAGCCAAGCAAATCCATTCAAACTGACATATCAACAAACCCCAAAAAATTTCACAGAGAGGGGGAGAGGGAGAGAGAGATCTTTTTGTAGGAAAGGTAGATTAGGATAGAGAAAAAGATGTAGTGTTGCCTGCATTAGAGAGAGTCAACATGAAGACCACACATGTGGCTAAGCCACCAATCATCACACAGCTTTTGAACTACCTCTACAGTTCTTCCCTACACCTTCCATTAACACTTTCAGAACAACTTTGTACCCATTCCTAAGACATTTCTTGCCAAAAAGAAATGCTTCTACTTATTACTAGTCATTACAACGCATTTGACTTTTAAACTCCATTTAAACGCAGTTTTGAATAAATTGACTTTTATTTCTCCACTTTAATCAATACTAGTAATGAATAACTTGCAGACAATTGCATTGAAACTTGATGCACTTGTCCAAATAAAATAGTCAATACTGATAAAATAAGATCATGATAACTCGCGAAGCACAGGATATTTCCCCTAAGCAAGCAAGATCAGGCAAGAAAGATCTACATTAAAAGACTAAACAACATGGCTAAGAGCACCCTAATCATTTGGTTAGGCATCTTAAATAAATCCCATGCCACCATGGAAGAGATAGACAAGGGAGAACAAATAGAATTGGCAGCACACAATGTCACATGGTGTAGTTGGGGCCTGGGGGCAGATTATTACAATAAGACCCCTCAAGGGTTTGGACATTAGGGGACGAAGAGGACAGTTTTGTCCTTTTGGGATACACAGATGTCAATTTCGTCTTTTAAGGCAAGACATTTAAAGCTCAGTGCCACATCGGCAGCCTTTTTCCTTCTCTTTTCTCTACCTGCCAGCTAGGACAGGAAAGGGGTACCAAAATTTTGCCAGGGTTACTTTGACTAGGGCTTTGACCACAGAGAGGACGAACCATGGGGTCTCGAAGCCCCTTGACAAGTCTCTTTCGTTCTAAGTTTTTGGACTCTAGCCTGCACCCTTTTTATTTTAGCTGTACAAATGCAAGCTATGGTAAATTCGTTACTGTTCTTATTGGTTTGCTTTAATTCTCTGTGTTCTTTGCTAACCCTTGATGATACCTTTTAAGTTTCGCACTACAATAATTTCTATAGATTTAAGTTATATATATGTATATATAGTTCTGTCTCCTATTTATATTTTTCGAAGGATGATGTACACTGGCTGATATTAATTTGATCAATAAAAATGTTATAGGAACAAGCTTTTATGTTTTCTTCCGTCCATTCAAAAACTAGTACTATTGTGTTCTTCATTTTTACTCTTCTTTATTATACATGAAAATTTTATTATTATTTTTTTCTTTTATCTTAGTTATTTCAACTTTATTTTTTATATAATAGTGACTAAAGCTTACACATTACAGCTCCATCATAAATCTAAAGGACATGTAAAGTTAGCAGAATGAAATTACTATTCTGTAAAAATAGAATATGATATAAATAATTATTATTTAATTTCGTTTATGTAATGGAATTGTCGTTTTAACTTTATCCCAATATTTAGTGGACAAAAAAATTTTAAACTAATAGAGGAACATGAGATAAAAAATTTTAAAGAAAAAACCTTCATTATAATTTAAGATTTTTAATTTAAAATATTAATAAATTTTAATTAAAATTTTGATATGATTTTTTTTATTTTTATATATTAAAATATTAACATTTTATAATTTATAATTAAACTTTAATATAATTTTTTTATTTTGAATTCTTTTTTTTTCTTTATTTTTATTTTTATCTCTTTTTCAATTCTTTTCATGTCTCTTTGCAGACTAGGCATCGAAGATGTGATTGGCATAATAAAGTGTTGATTTATGGATCAGATCTGGCCATGGAGGCATTGGTCAACCATTGTAGTCGAAAGATTTTTAAAAAAGAGACAGATAAGGTAAAGAGAGAAAGAATAAAAAGGAAAATGAAAGAGATTAAGTTTTGTTATATATAGGACAATAATTTCACAAAATGACTATAAATATTATTTATTTAATTTTTTAACCTATTGTACGACTCGCGAAATAGCTATTATCAAGAGGAGTGGATAATAGTAGGTATTGGGACTTCTATAGAAATGACCATTTTGCAAGCAAATAAAGAAAATAAAGGAGGATGAAAGATAATCACAAATGAAATAACCATTCCCTGGACCAAACATGTAAAAAGGGTTTTAAAAGAGTTGATAATAGTAGTTATTCCGACTTCTATAAAAATGATGATTCCGTAGACAAATAAAGAAAATAAAAGACAAATGAAATAACTATTCCCTCAAACCAAACATGTAAAAAGTGTTTTAGGGCATCAATTCAAACCAAAGTTTACAACCCATTTTGGCTCAAGATTAATGCCCATCTTGTAGCTTATGCATATACTAATATTGTGAGTGAGAGAAATTGTAGACTAATAAAAAATTGTGGCAACATAATATATCCAATGATAGTGATGTGATAGAATAAAATAAAAAAAAACCCTAAAGGTCAGCTAGGGAGCGTTTGCTAGACGAGGGGTGAAGGGAATGTCTTTAAAGTATTTGGTTGGTGTTTTTGGATTACAATGAGAAAAGAAAATGTCATGGAGGGAAAGTTATTTTCTCTCAACAAAGAGAAAATAAGAAAAAGGTTTCTCCCCAACTTAACCTCCCGACACTTATTCTATTTTAGGGTCTATTCTTCTTCCTTTCTACCTTCTTCTCCTTCTTCTCACTACTCGTAAGAAGTGTAGTTAGTCACCAGTACATTTAGGTTCAATTTCATCGTCAAATTCGAAAATTGGAGAAATTGAGATCTTTAAGGTTTTATGAAACTTTAACTCAAATTTTTAATAAATTTGAAAATATTTTGAGAAAAAATTGTGTTTTTGATGTCGAAAATTGAGAGAGAAATTTGACAGTGTTTTGAAAAAAAATTATAGTTTTGATGCCAAAAACTGAGAGAGAAACACCTTAAATAGTTTTTAAAAAAAATTTGCTAAGGAGTTAAAAAAAATTTGAAAGGGAGAAATGTTTGATGCTGCAGTTATGAGAGAAATGAAACATAAAGCATGATTAAAATAGTACATCTATTAATAGATGGGAACATTTATCCAAAGATTTTTGACCGTGGGTATCTATTGATAGATAGTGTAATCAATAGGTAGATACATGTAGTCAAAAATTTATGTATCTATCAATAGATTTTTTTTTAAATAATGTTTTTTATTATTCATGTGATAATTTTAAATATTATTATTTTTAATTTTTATAAGTTTAAAGTAAAAATAAATATTTAGTAATTTCATATATTTTAATATTAATTTTTTTTTTACATTTTTATACATAAATTTTTTTTATAAATTTATATTATATTTTCAATAAAGTAATTTTAAACTAAACATTACGATATAATCTTCTTAATAATCACATTTCTACAATCAAATTAATTTTCTATATTAACAATCAAATACCAAACAACATATCAAATGCAACCTTAACAGAGCTATACGTTGAATATTAAAGAGTTAGGCCATCAAAGTTACCGTAGGACTCATCCAGTATTTAATACGGGGACAGTGATGAAAAGGATAATGAGATAGGAAATATCCACACGCTTGAATATTCGCAACAGTTCCATTAACAAAGCAACATTTATTGCAAATAAGGACTGTAATGTAGGAGCCTGGATTCACACACTTGACAATTTAATACTGTCCACTTTTTAGTTTTTACACGCATGCTTTAAAAAAGCGGGACAAGTCTTTATTTTTCTTTGGTAATAATTTCTATGTAAAATTTTAAAAAAAAAATCGATGAAAATTGCTTCTAAAACCTTTTAAGTTTTACCAATATCTTTTCGAATTACGGTTCTCACGATGAGCATATATGGTACTATGAATTTTGCATTTACGGGGTCCACTGCAGCGGAGATCGAGACATACTCATAGCACCTTCCGTGCGTCCGTGCTACCAAACGGACACCACAAAACCGCGATGTGCTACCCAGCGGTCCTGAATACCTACCACAAAACAGCACACCTAGCGACAACACATGATAAATGGCGAAAGTCAACAAAACAATGGCCAAGATTCTCCAAGACTAATTATTTCACTGTGTACCTTCAACCAAAAGCTATCTGCAGCCCGTCACTCGCCTCTATTATTTGCCTTTTGGCCAATAAAAGGATTAGCAAAGCATGAGAAACCAGACAATAGTATATGGGCATTAGAGAAAAGGGTAATACCGTTTCCTTGAACACTATTTATGTGATATAAAAACAGTGTTCGAGGAACAGCACGAGGGAGTTAATTTCGGTTATGATAATAATAATATGCACCATAAGCAGTATTTGATAATCCAAAACCTAAAGGGCAATAAAGTCAAAAGCTCAAATATTGTCCTGTCCAGCATTTAAGGAATTTGTTTTGAAACATAAAACCTAATGTTTTATCTGAAAAGGTATAAGATTACTCAGATAAACCCGCCAAAAAAAAATGTTATATATGAATATGTTTAAGTCGATGAGAAATTTAACACGTTTAAGGGAAATCCATGCTTCAGAGAGAGAGTTGGATGCCAAAAGCCAAAATCTTCTATTGTGTGAGGAGTGAAGGAGTTATCTCTTTTTTCTTCCACCCTTCCCACTCTTGGATGGTCCAGCACTTGATGTGGATGGAGCTTCCTGCTTCTTAGTCCTCCCAGGATGTCTAGGTACCAACTCAGCAACTTGGAGCATCAGCTGTTTTCCTGCAATATATCCAAACAAATTAGGGAAGTAGGGTCTTTTATGGCGGAATTCTCCAAGTTACAATCCAGGCATAATCCATTATGGCACTATTCTTTTTTTTCTAATTAATGAAATTAATGTGACAAAGGAAACATTCCCCTTGATAATTTTAATTTCGTGAATCAAAGAGTGAAAGTGCTTATACATTTTACTTCAGATGAGCTTATGCAGCAGTACAGGAGCAGAGGAAAAACTATCAGATAACTCAATTACAAACCATCTTCTATTGCATAAACAGTATTGAAACTTACTAAACCACTAGGTAACCATATTTACGTGCCTGCAAATGCTTCTACAAAAAGTATAGCGTTTTTTCCAATAACTCAATTTATTTATTCTACAATCAGGCTCTGAACTTGCATTAGATTATTTGTGAAACTACACTTACTGGAAGAAACGGCTGGATTGCATAAAGTCCCATCTTCCTTTCTCAATTGGACCCTCACTCTCCCTCTTTGCATGAAATCACGAGGGTATGCCTTATCAATCTGCAATAGTCAGAAAAATCACCTGCTATAAACAAGTACCAAGAACTAGTTTGTTCAACTTCTGAAGAGTAACAAGTCAATTAAGCATGCAACAAGAGTGAGATGGAGAAGATACTTGGCATATATTTATAGCATGGCCCAACTTCCCAAACAAAATAATATGCAAACGATTATTGTCATGGGATGAACAAATAATTTAGCTAATAAATTGCTCTAAAGGTAGCAGCGTATTGAGGTTTAAGGGCAACCTTCTTGCAGGGAGAAAAAGCGTTTAGAAGTTATGAGACACGGATAATAGTAAGACTGAAATGTTGATATAGGTAGATTTCTGACACAGGGCAGAAAGAAGCAAACATAAAAAGAGACCATGGGTAAGACACTGCAAATGTAGAGCCACACTCTCAGATGGATCCTCAAATGACGAAAGGAGCAGTGCCTGAAAGCCCCAAAAACCATGCTTGTGGCATTCTGACTTTGGAGGCTACAACAGTTTTAAATCCTGAAAGGAGGCAATATACAACATTGGCGACTGTCCTTGGTTAATTTTGATTGTCACTAAGATAAATACTTAAAATTGTTAGAGTAATGTCGGCGACTGTCCTCAGGGAACTCCGATCATCACCGAGGGAAATACTTATAAGTAACTTGAAACCTCAGGCTTCTAATCAGGCAAAAAAAGTTCATATTTGAGCTTGGGTCTTATTCTTCCCCAAGTTTCCACAATGAAAAAGGAGAATAAAGGGATCAACAAAGTGACATCACAAATCATACAAGAACAGACCTCAATGGCATTCAGGAGTTTGAGATGGCTGCAGCAATCAGCAATTTCAGCACAAGTGGGATTTTCGCATGCTTTAGTGAAGCTAATTCGCCTCCCCTCAGCAACTGTTTTCTTTGAATTAATATAAACGGGATAGAAAACTACCCATTTCTTTATGTTGGAGATTTCTCCATTCATCTTCTTCTGTCTGAATCCAACAACATATCACATAATTCAACAAAGATGTTACAAGCAAAAAAGTTCAAAACCAATATTGGCAAGCAGAAAAGCTTTCATAGCCAAGTTAATGACATAAAATACGAATTTAAACCTACTAACCACTAACACTTTACATAAATCAATTACCAAAAGCTTGAAACCATCCACATAGATCAAATCAAACCAAAATTTTCTAATTCTACCCCGTCAAACCAGCAACCATAAGCTAGAAAAAAAATTTAACATACAGAATCCCCAAAAATGCCCTGAGAAATCTAAAAAAAAAAAGGAAAAATCCTTTATTTTTTTAACATAAAAAATCAGATTAATAAAACCCTAATCAATTCTATGACAAATCATACTCATGAACAATCAAGGTTCGAACAAGGAAAAATTGAATACTCGCAAAAGCACAACCCTAAATCAAATTCAAGGTTTTTTTTTTCATAGGAAAAAAAAAAAGAAATTTTCTATCCTTCTCCCTTAAATTAATTGGTCCAAAATCAAGACCTATACCGTTTTCTCAGTAAAATCGTACCGAAATGTTAAAAGGTTGTCTTTCTAACCTGAATTTTCGATTTGCTTACTGCTGCTCGGCGGTAACGCTGGCGGTCAGGCTTGCAATTTTGGGTACCCAAACTACTGATTGCCGTGGAAAAATTAAAAATAAAAAACGGCTACACAAAGTAAAGCTGATGCGACACCGTTTCATAGGCGAGTTGGTGTAATAATAATAATAAATAATAAACTATGCGATCTTTGAAAGGGAGTTGGCTGTTGAGCTCTGCTGCTGGTGCTCGAGGAAACGAAGGGAAATGAACGGTGATCTACATTTTTTGAAAATTGATTTTAAAAAAAATTCATTTTCTCAAAAGAAACAACAAACTCACTTTTTAAAGAAATAAGTTTTAATTAACATATTCTAAAATGTGGAAAGTGATTTCCACCAACATATGATTATTTTTCTGGTGTCCTTTGATGATGGGACAATTTGGTTGAAATCCTCTCAGGATGCAAGTCATGAAGCGTTTCCCTAGGCGGAAAAACTTCCTACCAAATCCCAATCTTTTCCTAATTAACAACTTTAAAGGAGTTTAAATATATTTATAACATCTATAAAACTGCATCAAATGCAAGGTACATGGGGGTTTAGGTTGACACTTAGCAAGCTTTTCGATCGACATGGCACTCTTTTATATTGAAATGTTGTGTGTTATTTTCATGTCATGTGGTCATTTTGATAATTTTCTATGTTACAAGTTAAACAAAAAAAGTCAAAAGAAAAATGAAAATAAATATTGAAATGGGTGGTGGACAAGTTGGGTTGGATTTTGTTTTGAGCTGAGTATTGGGTTGTAGGAGATTTTATGATTTTGGTGGATTTGTTTTGAACTATTTTACACATAGTGAATAACAATTATTATTATTATTATTATTTATCTTTATTTCTTTTAACTTTGTAAAAGTGGGTTTATTTTCTTTTATAAATTTACTTTTATTTACCTTCATTTTATAAATTCAAATGAGCTTATATACATGCATACATATATATATATATATATATATAAGTTAGATACATAATAAGGTTTAAAGTTGATACTCCCTAAGCCCTTTGGTTGATACTCTATTTTTAAAATTTTTTATACTAAAGGTTAAACAAAAAAATTAAAGAGAAAAAAGGGAAGAATTTTTTGAATGGAAGTGAATGATTAATAGGTTGATTTGGGCTTTAAAAATGGGTATAAGATTGTAAGAGATTTTATGATTTGGGTGGATTTTTTTTTTTTGGCTTCTGTACATGTAATAGATAATAATAATTATTATTATTATCCAGTTTTATGTTCTTTCATTTTTTAAAAGTTGGTTGATTTTATTTTGTAAGTTTGGGTTTTTAAAATGGGTATTTGTTTGTAGGAGAATTTTAAAATTTGAGTTTAATTTGGGTTATGAATTTACTTTTTGGATTATTATTATTGTTGTTGTTATCATTATTATTATTGTTCTTGTTATTTAACAAGATAAAAGTAAGGTTATAAGGAGTTGGAAAAACCTTATATTTGATAAAATAATTTATAAATTTGAATAAATAAATAAATGCAATACTCATGTATAGCATGAAAACCTATAACGAAATCTAAACTTAATATATTAAATATTACATCTAAATGTTGTTTTTTTTGGACATTGAATGTGTTGATGAAATATTTTTTATTATTTTTATATTAAAAACACTCATAACACACATATATATATATGATAAAAAAAATTTAATGGAGAATAATGTATCTTTGATATGGTTGAGACCAAATTTGATTATTATTGTTATAAACAAATATGTGATTGTCATTATGTTATGATCCAAAAGTGTAGACCAAATCAAACAACTTAATAAGCAAGATACAAAAAATGTAATTTGATTTGAATTCTTAGATAGAATTAAATTATGATTATGATTCAATTGATTGTTAGCCTATAAATAGGTCAATCACTTTATTTGTAAATACACACTTAGAATAATATTTTCTTACTTTCTCTAAATACTTTTTTTCCTTTTAAATCCTTTCTCTTATATTTCTCTCATAATTATTCTTGTAAGATTTATTTCATAACAATTATAATATTATTGATTTTCTCAATTCACCTCTTTGCCTTTCTTTGGATGAAAAAACGCATTTTCACTCTATCATAATATGATTTTAGGCTATACCGACGCAAGGGTCTAATATGCAAAATGCATTAAGTTCAAGCAAACCTTATACTCATACCTATATCAAATAGATTTTCACATCTCTCATATCATATACCTATCATATCCAAACACCTATCATATTTTGAATGTGTCTTAACTCAACATTGTAATATCAAGTGTTAACGTTATCTTTATACTTTTTCCATCATAAGTATTTGACACATTGTCATCTAATGACTACGTTTTCTATTTACTACAAAAATAGAACATGACAAAATAACAGAGTGATACAGGTTGGTGTGCCCTAATGAATGTCATAATAACACATACTATGAGTGATACAGGTTGGTGCACCCTAATGAATGTCATAGTAACACATACTATGAGCGATACAAGTTCGTATGGCCTAGTGAATGTCATAATAACACCTATTACAATGATAAATAAGGATAGAACTGTTCCTTTACTATTCGGCTAATTCTTGTTGTGAAAACAAAATACATGAACTTTGAAAAAGTGAATACAAATGCTTAATAAAGGGATAAGGAGGGGAAATGAATATTAATGGGAGAGTATTTAATAAATCATACTATTTTAGTTTCAAATCATACAATTTTATTTGAAACATAAAACTGTGCATACACGTATTCAAAATCCATCATATCTTATTTATAAAATATTAATATAATCATATTTTAAAAAATCAAAGTCCTTATGTCTCAAATCACATGAAAAAAAACCATTTTTTTTTAAAACAGGAGCTAAGTATCGATACAAAAAAAAAAAGTCTTGAGACTTCATTTAAAATCTATATCTTTTGGTACTTTTCTCTTTTCAAAACTTTACTACACTTAATCTAATTACACAACTCAGAAAATATTTAAATTCCAACATGTTCATGTAAATTTAAAGTAGTGAAAAGCTTATAACAATGTATATCAAATAATCCAAACATCATGATCAAAATTTAATATATTAGTGGAGCAACTTAAGAAGTATAAAATACAAACATATCACACATGATGGGTGGCTAATCCATATAGTCAATGCATTCCAACTTACTGGCTCCAATATCACTTGTACTATTCTGTGACAACAAGATTAGCACTATTTACTCTACTTTCCCCCACTAATTAAGGTGTTCTTATTTTGAATAATAGTTAGCAAAACTACTGCTATATTAGGCCTTCAAATAAGTACTCCACATTAAAAACATTTTCTCAACTCTTAATATTTCATAGAATAAATTAATATTTCATAGAACAAATTAAAAACATGCCATCATAGAACAAATTAATCATAAAAATCATATATGTTTCCCACCCTTAATAGTTCTCAAACAAGTTAATAACATTTCCAATTTAAACATAATTAAGGGCAAAACATATAATACAAAAGGCTCGTTTCCCATACACATTTTGTTTTTTGAAAACATTAATTATAACATTATCAAAACATTGCATGCAATTTTCAAAAATAATTTAATTGCATATCTCTCACCTTTTATGCTACCTTACTAAAGTAAAGCCACTTAATCAAGCTCTTTTAGCTAATTGATCTTGGAGCTTCAAGAGAGCCTAACACATACAACCAACACAATAAAGGAATCAATTATTTATTTCAAAACTAGAGATTTGACTAAATCATTTAACAACTTCTAATAATCTTTTTGCTAAATTTATGTTGTTCCTTTCCTATCCTCAAAATTTTCAAACCCTTTCAACAAGTTAAGTTTTTCTTGAAAGTTTTATTTCACATACATTCTTTTAAGCTAATGAAAATATAATTTATCACTTTAATATTTTCCATTTATCCTATCATTAGAGCTAACATCCATCTCAAACTCATACCCATTTTAATCACTCGAGTGTTTTTAAAAGTCTTACCTTAGTAAGTTTTGAAAATAGAAAAATTGAAATAAACGCCTAACAAATTTTAAAAAAAGAAAATTTATATATAGGAAAAATGATCTTGAATGTAAAATCAAGAATAACAATAGAGTTTAAATTTCTCACCTTAATTTAGCTTTGAAATCGAATGACACATGCTCATGATCTTTGACAAATAATAATGGATAAGAGAAAAATATAAAAGCTGAGACAGTCAGATGAAACAAAAAAGATAAATGACAAAGTAGAAAAATATAAAACTTTAGAAAAGACAGAGGAAGTTTAGCTCATGCAAAAAGAAGAAAGGCAAAGTTTCTTAAGGAACCTCAGGTATATTTTTTTAAAAAAAGTTTAAATTTTTGTAAGTTTTATTTTCATCAAAATAATATATTATTTTACTTTTATCAAAATAATACATTACTTTCATAAAAAAAACACTGTTTATATTATTTTAATGCAAAGCTTGGTCTTGGCATAGAAAAAAGGAAAATATTTTTTTTTGAAGCTTCCTAAAACTTATTTAAGTAATATTTCATTCCAAATAATATTTTTGATATACAATAATTAATGAAAAGAAAACTCACCAAATAATGATATTTTTAACCTTGAGTTTTATACTTTTATTTTTGTGCTCTTATTTGTAAATTTGAAGTTTTCAACAGTCGTTTCAATAAATAAAAATAATAATGTATATTTTGAGTTTTGATTTTAGATTGCTCATTTGAATTCTAAATTCTTAAATTAAAGTGTTTGTTTCAATGTACATGATCTATTGTTTTGAAAGAAATTATGTATATGGTAAATAACACCGGATGATCCCAAATGATTTTTATATTTTAGTTTCTTAAACGTTTTAAATATCATTTATCATCATATTTAAAAACACATCGAGCTTAAATTACATAAAAAAAGTATAATTATTTTTATATTATAAAATTATTACATTCCTTCAAAATATAAATTTAAGATATTGAAAGTATCGAATTTAAATTTATTATGAAATTAAACATTGAAACATCACATCAACAGGACCAATGCTTGAGTTACTTGCCGTTAAATTTTTGGAGAGAGATCGGTTACGGTTGAGGCATGCTTCACTTTCCATAATATACAAGATTCATGTAAACATCACTTTATCAGTTAGTAACTTACCGTATGTACAAAATAATGTACAACATTTCGAATCTTTTTTCAAAAAAATAAAGCATTCGGAGATCTGCATAGTAATAATTTCTTTACTTATTCCAATCAAAATCCTGACCCGATCCAATCCCCCTGACGACGAACACACCAAATAAACC